ACCCCGCCCGCCGCCGGGCCGCGGCCGGGGGCCAGGTGCTGCCGACAGGGAGCGAGGATCCTAACCCGGGACACCTGGCTTCGCAGCCAGCCCCGCCCCAGCCTCCTTCCCGTTCGGCTCCATCAAAACGGACGAGAAGTTTCGGGGCCGCCGCGGTGCGGCTCTAACGTGAGGGGCTTTCCTCCGGGCTGTCCGGGCGCCTGAGCAGAGGGCGCGGCTGGGACTTGGCCCCGACCCTTGACAGAGGAAAGGACAGAATCGGGGAGCACCGGGAGTGCAGGGGTTGGAGGGAACACGGGGAGCAACACTTCAGACTCCGGTAACATTGCACCAAGCGCCAGGAACTTTTATGAATTCGCTGACGCGCCCTCGCCGGTTTGGCGCAGGGGATAGAGCGTCGGCCTGTGGACTGAAGGGTCCCGGGTTCGAATCATATCAAGGACACTTGCCCGGGTTTCGGGTTTCCAGCGATCCCCAGTGCGGGGCGTGCAGGAGGCAGCTGATCAATGGTTCCCTCTCATCATTGATGTTTCTCTCTCTCCCCTTCTCCCTTCCTCTCTGAAATTAATAAAAACACATATTTTTAAAAATAATAAAAATAAATTAGCGGACGACAGCCTCGGTTTAGGTTGAGAACTGGAATTAAAGAGGCCACGGGCAATTCTGAAGGCGGACCATTAAGTGTGGGGGTGGCCGCTCTCATGGGCCCAGGCCCGGGCTCCTTCCCCGCCCCCCACTCCTCCCCGGCTCAGCCTCGCCTGCAGCTGCAGGCCTCCAGCCCTGAACTTCTCACCTGTTTCCGATCTCATCTGTGGCTCCTGGTCCTCGGCTCCTCCTGCTCCCTCCCCGCACATCCAACCACCCACCAACAGTGAGGAATTCTCCCGCTTAAAGTCTGGTCGGCCCATTTCTTTCTGTTCCTACAGCCACTGGCTGAGTGCAAACCAATTCCATCTCTTGTCTGACCACAGCAGCAGCCTCATAAGTGTCGTCAACTCTTCCTCCCTCAAATCCAGCCCCTCTGTCTGGGCACCAAGGGACCTTCCTAAAGTGAAAACCTCACCAGTGCCTGGGCTCCCTCTGCCTGCGGGTTACCTGGCTGCAAAGTCCCTCAGGGTCCTAGTCCTGCTGGCATTTCAGGCTCCATCTCCTCTACCCCCTCTCTGCTGGCCCCGGACACACCCCACTGTTCTGTCCTTCCACCGGCCTTTGAACACTCCCCCCTCTGCCCCAAACACGTTTCCTCCTGGGCCTTCTCAACCCCTCCCTGCAGCCCTGGAATCCCCGATTGCCTCTCTAACTCCCGCTAAAGCTGCAGATTGCACATCCTAGGACACTGCATTCACTCAGATTAGGGGCAGCAGGCAATAAGAGAAAACCCCAGTAACGGCGGCTAAAGTGGAAAGTTGACTTTTTCTCTCATAAAAGAAGTCTGGCCCTGGCTGGTTTGGCTCAGTGGATGGAATATCGGCCTGCAGACTGAAGGGTCCTGGGTTTAATTCCTGTCAAGGGCACGTGCCTGGGTTGCGGGCTCAATCCCCAGTGAGGGGCGTGGAGGAGGCAGCTGACCAATGATTCTCTCTCATCACTGATGTTTCTATCTCTCCCTCTCCCTTCCTCTCCTATATATATAGGTGGTCAGTTCAGGACTGAGTTGAGAGCTCAGAGGTCTTCAGGGACCCAGGTTTCTCTCTGCTCATCATCCCTAGCATGTACAGTGGGGCCTTGACTTACGAGTGTCCCAACTAATGAGTGTTTTGAGATACCAGCTGTCTCTCGGCCAATATTTTGCATTGAGTTGATAATTTGAGTTAACGAGCTCCTTAACGAGCTCGGTCTCAGAACGAATTAAACTCGTAAGACCCCACTGTACATCCATCTTCAAGATTCCCTCATAGTCACAATATGGCCACTGTAGTTCCAGCCATCTCACCTGGTACCAGAGCTTTTCTGGAAACCCAGCAACTTCCTCTTACCGCTCACTGACCGCTTCTATCAGCCAGGAAGTCAGGGAGGGTGGGGTGTTTAGGGAGAGTCATTGCCACTCCCCCAAATACAG